CTGAGCGAGACCCCGTCTCTACTAAAAAAAATAGAAAGAAATTAATTGACCAACTAAAAATATATATATAAAATTAGCCGGGCATGGCGCATGCCTGTAGTCCAGCTACTGGGAGGCTGAGGCAGAAGGATCGCTTGAGCTCAGGAGTTTGAGGTTGCTGTGAGCTAGGCTGACGCACGCCTCACTCTACCCTGGGCAACAAAGTGAGACTCTGTCTCAAAAAAAAAAAAAAAAAAAAGTTATGTTTACACTATAATGTAGTCTGTTAAGTGAGCAATAGCCTTAGGTCTAAAAATACAATGTGCATACCTTAATTTAAAATTACTTTTTGTGCATACTTTAATTTAAAATTACTTTATTGATAAAAAAAATTCTGACAGAGACACAAAGTGAGCACATGAAGTTAGAAAAATGACACTGACAGACTTGTTCAATGTAAATTGCCACAAACCTTCAATTTGTAAAAAATGCAATTATCTGCCAAGTGCAATAAAGTGAAGAGAAATAAAACTAAGTATGCCTGTATATGTTTATTCCTATTGTTGTCAAAATTCACAGACCCTAAAATTCTAAAAGTCCCTCTTTTAAAATGTACAATTCAATGGTTTTAGTATATTCACAAGATTGTGCAACCATCAGCACAATAAATGTTAGAACATTATCATTACCCCAAAAAGAAATCCATATCCATTAGCAGTCACTTCCTATTTCCTACTCCCCCAAGCTCTAAAAACCACTAACCTAATTTTTTGTCTCTATGGATTTACCTATTTTGGATATTTCATATAAGTGAGATCACAAAATCATACAATATGTGGCTTGTTGTGACTGGTTTATTTCATTTAGCTGTTTTCAAGGTTCATCCATATTGTATCAGTATTTCATTCCTTTTCATGGATTAATGATTAATATTCCACTGCATGCATATAACCACATTTATTTTTCTATGCATCAACTAATAAACATTTGAGTTGTTTCCACTTTTTGGCATTATTCTAATTTCTGTACATCCTCACCAACACTTATTGTCTGTCTTTTTGATTATAACCTAGTGAGTAAGAAAGGATACCTCATTATGGTTTTGATTTGCATTTCCCTAATGGCAAATGATGTTGAACATCATTGTGTATTAGCCATGGATAAATATATACACAAATCCTTTGGCCATTTTTTAATTGTCTTTTTATTGCTGAGTTTTAAGAATTTCTTTCTTTTTTTTTTTTTTTTAAGACTGAGTATTACTGTCACCCCAGTTAGAGTGTATTAGTGTGACCATATAACTCACTGCAACCTCAAACTCCTGGACTCAGATGATCCTCCTGCCTCAGCCTACCCAGTAGCTGGGACTACAAGCATGTGCCACCAGGCTCCGCTAATTTTTTCTATTTTTAGCAGAGTCGAGGGTTTTGTTCTTGCTCAGGCTGGTCTTGAACTCCTGACCTCAAGCGATTCTCCCGCCTTGGCCTCCCAGGGTGCTAGGATTACAGGTGTAAGCCACTGCGCCCAGCCTAAGAATTCTTTATATATTCTGGATAGTAAAGTCTTGTCAGAAAAATGTTTGCTAATACTTTCTCCATTCTGGATAGTAAAGTCTTGTCAGAAAAATGTTTGCTAATACTTTCTCCATTCTGTGGGTGGGCTGTCTATTCACTTTCTTAATATGTATAAAACTTTTTTATTTTGATGAAATCCAATTTATCCATTCTTTGTTGTGTTGCTTGTGCTTACTTTGAAAATAACCTGAGTTAAAATTCATATAATATAAAATTAACCATTTTAAAGTGAACAATTCAGAGGCATATAGTATATTCACAATCTGATACAACTACTGCCTGTAACTAGTTCCAAAACATTTCTATCACTCCATAGTAAAATTTCCTATCCATTAATCAGTTTCTTCCCATTCTCTCCCTCCTCCCACCAACACTTGCCAACCATCATCAGTCTGCATTCTATCTCTATGAATTTATATATTCTAAATATTACATATAAATGGAATTATACAATATGTGACTTTTTGTGTCTGGCTTCTTTCATTTAGCATGTTTTCTAGGCTCAGCCACATTGTAGCATGTATCAGAACTTGATTCCATTTTACAACTGAATAAAATTCCATCACATATATATACCCCACAATTTACTTTTCTATTCATCCATTAATAGATACTTGGGCTATTCTACCTTTTGGCTCTTGTAACTTGTGCGGTTATGAACATGCATATATGTGTACTTGTTCGATATCTGTTTTCAATTCTTTGGATATATACTTAGGTGGAGAATTGCTGGGTTATATGGTAACTCTGTATTTAATTTTTGAGGAACCACCAGACTGTTTTCCATAGTAGCTGAACCACTGTACAGTCTCATTAGCAATGTACAAAGGTTCTATTTCTCCGCACCCTCACCAACACTTTTTATTTTTCGTTTTTAAAAAAACTATTCTAGCTATTCTAGCTAGTGTGAGGTATATTCTTAGCTTTAGTATCTCTGTTCTGCCTATCTTAGAAACACAGTTTTCCTGCTGACCTCTGACTTCCCTTAGGTTGGATCACACATAGCACATAGGCTATATGAAATGGGTCTAGGAGAAAAATATCCCTGTCCTGGCATCAATCTAACCTGCTCCACCACGGCACCTTTTGTTGGCTCTGATCTCTTCGACCCAATACCATGGACCCAGGATTCTAGTTCTCATGCTAGCTGATTTTCCCAGATAAAATCCTTGCCTACTTTAGCCTGCAGTTTCTAATGTCCTCTTTCAGATAGAGTAAATCCTATTTTGATACAGAATACATACAGCCCGATAATATGTCTTAGAAAATAAGAAAGACGTTCAGGCTATTGAAGGCCTCCCCTTCCTGGGTGGTGACAGAGGAGAGAGAGAACCTTTGTGAAAGTAGCCTAGTACCTGGCACTAAGCCACTTGTAGACAACCTGCTTCTGGGTTGGGGATTTGTACGTAGCAAAGCAGCTCTTTTACTGCAATCTATTGAAAGGCAGCCCTCTTTGAAGCATGGAATTGAAGACACCCAGTAAGGAATAAATAAATAAAAAAAAAAAAAAAAAAAAAAAGAAAGGGAGTCCTCAAGACAAGAGTTTGTAAAGAGAAAGAAAGAAAGGATTAAAAAAGAAGAAGAAGAAAAGAAAAGATTTAAAAAAAGAAGAAGAAAAGAAAGAAAAGAAACAAAAGAAAAAAGAAAAACAAGGAAAAAAACAACAAAAAAAGTAGCCTAGTTTTTACTACTGGGTATAATTCTTCTGGTATAAGTGTTTTTGTTAGTATATACAAAGAAGTGTATAAGCTATTAATATGGAGGGTTTAATAAAGTTACTTCCTAACCTTTAAGACCCAGCTCAAGAATTACCTTCTTCATAAAGCCTCCTAGACTCCAGTAGAAAATTACTCCCTATTTTGTGGTTCCAGCTGAACTCTGGAAAGACTTATATAATAGCTATAACACTATATTTGTTTACCATTTACTATATTTGTTGACATGCTTATCTCCATTTAGATAGAAGCCCTTTAGAGCAGGGACCCTGCCATTTATACTGGTACACAGAAGGTTCTTAATGTTAGTGAATGAATGAAAGGCCATTACTGAACATAAAGAGTAGTCTCACATAAAAAGGAGAGCCATTCAATGTATCATTTATTCAAAATTTATCCACAAATGGTGAACAAAATGTGCCATAAAACTGACCCTCACTTCCCAAAAAAAGGCAACAAAGAATATGAGAACACTCTTTTCCCAGTTTGCTCTGTTTCACAATTTCAAAACATATAGACCTGCCTGTATCGAGTCAGCTTGGGCACTTGCCAAGCCACATTCATAGACAGGGAAATGTCATACTGCCTCTGACCTTGCCTGCCAGGTGCATCCCTGGACTGGTTCCTGGCATTCTGCTACTGGTACTTTAAACTGATGCCAGCAGTTCCCAAAGGGTGGAAAGTGGGCCCTAAACGCCTGGTTTGGTCAAGGGTAATTTTCTAAGAAATCTCACTACTTTTTCTTTCCCTTTGTTTCACTTAGTATAAGAAAAGGATGGTAGAGTTGGCTGTTCCCACCATGCAGATCTGTAAGGTCTAAACCACCTAACTCTCTCAACTAGCCCCTGACTAAAGAGACCAACCACCCTTTCTAAGGCCTGAGTGTGCCTCTGTTGCTTCAGTGAAAGTCCACTTAGTCTTCCTAGGTCATCAAAGGACACAAAGATGTTCAGCAACCAGTTCATATACTTTGCCTGTCTACAGTGAGAGCTGGTAACAGCTAGATGGCATTCAGCCCTTTGGGGGTTACTTGCTATCCCTGAGTATACTTTTCATATTTTAGCCTTTGTATTCTCACTCAGGTTATTTATTCCACCTAGAATGTCCTTTTCTGTCACCTCCATGGAATAAAGCTCTATCCATTTTTAAAGGCAGAGGTCACATGCTACCTTGTCTATAGGATACCTTTTCTATCCTTCCTTTGGGCCTCAGAAGCACTGTGTATCTCTCTAGAACGCTCATTTTATCCCTTTAGGGCAGAATATGATTCATCCAAGCCAACCTCTAGGATATGGCACAAAGTAGATATTTCCTTAAAGTATTTAAAGAATGGATGTTGGTATCTGGCCGGACTAAAATACAAGACTATTTCTTTCAATACCAGTGGAAATGGGCCAGGCATGATGACTCATACCAGTAATCCCAGTATTTTGGGAGACTGAGGCAAGAGGATTGCTTGAGCCCAGGAGTTTGAGACCAGCATGGGCAACTCAGCAAGAGCCCATCTCTACAAAAAATAGAAAAATTAGCTGGGCATGGTGGCAAATGTGATGCCACTACAATCTAGCCTGGGCAATAGAATGAGACCCTGTCTCAAAAACAAAAAAAACAGTAGAAATAGTGGAGGTGCTGCCTTGCACATGTACCTAGGAGACCCATGACCTCAGCCTAGCCACTACAACAGCTTTGGGTTCCATGGCTCAGCAGTAGCCCTTCTCTACACAGGACTCACAGAGAGGAGGCCCAAAGAGTACTGTATCCAGGGCCTTCAGCTGCAGCTTCTGCCGATGGCTCCGGTCTGTCATCTTCAGCACAGTCCCTGTCATGGTGGTGTTGGTTACAGCTAGCCTGTTGAGGCAAAGAGTAGCAGGGTCAGTTCCCTGCCAATAGAGCCATGAAGGATCCCGGTAGGATTACCCACCTCCTCCAGGAACACTTCTAGCTCTTGGTGACCATTCCCTTCTGCACTCTAGAACACAAAGGCTACACACCAATGGGATATCAACAGAGAGTATGGAGGGACACGTAACATTTGCCAAGAATATGCTCACCCTCACTCCCCATATCCACCATCTCCTAAGTACCCTAGCCTCTAAGGGTTACCTAGCTGTGATCATTTCCACACCCAAATATAAATTTTCTATTGTGCTTCTCCTCGCAGGGTTTATCCTCTATATATTTACCTGTACCTCCCACCACTTGTAAATGCATTCTCCTGTCCAGCCTAGGTCAAAATGTCATGCCACATGACCCAGCAAGAATTTGGGGACTTATGAATTATCCTAATCCTAAACCCACTGTCAGTATATATAAACCTGCTGATGACAAAAATTGAATTAGTCTTGTTAGCTTTTATTTGAGTCACTGGAGTAAATTTACCCCTCCATAAGATTATTGTAATTTTTTATGACCTTCGACCATACTGTCAGTGATAACTATAATAACAGAGAGCCTATAAACAAGCAAATGACCTAGGAGAAACTGGACTTTGTTTCTCTTCTGCTGGAACACAGTGGATACAGGAGGAGAAGGGTAAAAGATACAAAAGGTTGAAAACCATGGTCTGGGTCCCACAAGTGAGCAACCTCTGTAGGGTTGGTGCTCTTCTCTGATACTTAGCTATATTTCCCCAGCTAGAAAAGAAGCTTCTGACATCATCATGTGTGATGATTTATACTTCCGTCTGAGCATACAGGAGCAGCTACTTCCTTCTCTGGGCTTGGAAAACAACCACACCCACCTATAAGAGAGGCAGCGAGGCACTGTGATGTGGGCTTGGGGGATGTCAGGAGACTTGGCTTCTCAACCCAGCTCAACCAGTGACTCATGTGTCTGATGGCAACCTGCTTGGTCCCTCCCCTAGGACCTCACTTTCCTTTATGTAAACTTAAGTAGAATCAGGTGCTGCCTATAAGCATGGGAGTTCTTGAGGCTCCTCTTTAAAACACTTCTGCCAGGTGTGCTGGACTTTGTCTGACTGATCAAAATGAACATTGTCATCTTTTCTACAGTCTATTTCTCAAAGACACCTATGAACTGGAATGTTCTCTACTTTTAAGCAATGAGAGAAATGAGAAAGGAGCTAACATTTACTAAGTAACTACTATGTATCTGGTACTGTTCTGGCACTTTACATACAATACCTCATTTAGTCCTTACAACAACCTTAAGAACTCAGTTCTATTACCAATTCCACTTTATAGGTAAGAAAACTGAGACTTAGAGTCGAGTAACTTGCCCAAAGTCACACACAAGTAAGTGGCAAAGCCAGGGAATGAACTCACATATGCTAGATTCTTCCCATTATTCCATGCTGGCTAGTGTTGGGCCTAGAATTACCACCACTTCCACCCCAAGCCTCCTGCTGTCACTAGGTGCCACAGTTTGGTGTCCTCTACTCCTCTGCCCAGCCTGGCTGGACCTGGTCTTGGTTCTAATTCTAGCCACAGGAGGGCTAAGTGAACCCATGACCTGAGAACTGACTTCTTAACCTATGCTTTGCAGTTTTAATCCAAGCCACAGCTATTCCCCATGAGGGAATGGTCCAAGGATTCATAAGGCAATACTGCTGTTTCCATTGGTAGCAAGAAAAAACCCTATATTCTAGATCTTAATGGTCAATTATATATTCAATTGTCTATCTCTTCCATTAGCACATTGACTGCCACACTAGGAAAAAAGTTTTCCCAGGGGCCACAGTATTTTATTACAAAAACAGAATAAAAACTTCAAAAACAAAATGATCCTTTCTAATTTAATGAAAATTTTGTTACTTTTTGTTTTTTTCTGTGTTGTATGCAACTTGAAAAATATTTCATACGAGTAAAGAGATGTCTGAGTTACATATGCTTCACAAGGCCCTGAGCTTAAAACTAGCATGAGTTAAATACAACTCACATGGCAGTTAATGTGTTAAACATGGAGTTCTTCAAGGCTCCGGAGTCATATCCAATGTATCTCTTTGTACTTGGGGCCCAGAAGAGAGCACAGCACATGGTAGGTACTTGGTGAAGTTTCGTGAAATAAAATTGAACTGAATATTGCGAGGAAGTCTATCTTCAACCACATGTCACAAGAGAAAGATGCAGTGAAAAAAGCAGGGCACTTAGAACAAGGCAGACCTAGGTTCAAATCCCAGCTCTGCCACTTACTAGCTTGGATAAATTATAAAATATTTGAGAATCAGTTTGTCCACCCAAAAGTTGGGACAGTAATTCCTTCCTCCCAGAATTGTGAGAACCAACTGAAGTAGCGGGTAGGAAAACACTCTATAAAGGGAGGTACAAACATTAAGATTATTACTGTCTCCAGAGTAGGGAGAAGCTGTGAAGAAGAGGCTGCAGGCAACAGAGGAGGAAATAGCCAGCTCAGCTAGGCCTGGACAGCAGTGCCTGGTAGTTCTGTGGCTGGAGACTGCAATGTGTGGGCATTCCAACAGCTTCACTTTCCCCTTTCCCCTTTGCTGAAGCTCATAACCAGATGCACCTACATAATAAGATGACAGATTATACATAATCAGCACTTACCAGACAGTAAACCCTTTGAGGGCAAAGGCAGGTTGTTGTCATCTTTATCCCCAGCACCCAGCACAAATGCTTGGCACAGAGCAGGTACCCAGTAAATATTTGTTGAATGAATAAGTAAATGGATTAATGACTGAATAACATATGGCACTAGTTTGATATAACAAGAAGTCCAAGCACTAATCCATTCCCTCCCCACTCCCAGCCCAAGCCTTAGTATATTGTGCCTGTAAAGGAGGCAAAGAGTTATGATACCACAGCTGTTGGAGTCATCCCAGAGATGAGGCTGGCCCAATGGCAGTCAGCAGCCCTCTGTACCATTTTCATTAGAGATAAACTGTATACGAATAACCCAGGGAAGGCTAAAACAGCTCTGAGACTCCTGAGTGATAAAAGAGGCAAGTGCTGGGAGATAGCAAAAGAAAAGAAAAAAATAAAAGAAAAAAAGCTTTGAAGTCTACTATGTCTAGATTCAAATCACAGTTTTGTCCCTAACTAGCCATGTTTGTGACCTTGGAAAAGTTACTTAACCAGTTTCATCATCTATATACAGTAATACCCACCTTATAGGACTGATGTAAGAATTAAATGAGATACTGTAGATAGCGTTGAGTAGAGTGCCTGGCATATACTAAGCACTCAATAAATGGCAGCTATTAGTACTATTCCCAGAATTATCAGGACTATTAAATAAGAGAATGGATATAAATTGTCCATCATGCTTTATAGCAAGTGTACAATAGATGTGAGAAGAGGAGAGATCTATAGACTCCACCCTGAAAAGGGTGGAACCTACTTAACTGGTCAGAGTAACCTGAAGGCAGGCCCACACCAGCCCATTCCCTACATCCTCAAGTGAGAAAAACCCAGTCCCCTCCTGACCTTGGCATGGCATGGCCACTGAGCTGCAGCTTCCGGAAGGTCTCCTCATACTGAGGCAGCTCCACATATGTGATCAGCCACTGCACCACCTCATCCACGGTCCAGTTGTATACTGTGGAAAGAGACAAGCAAAGCCATGACTCCCAAATGTCAAGCACTTTTTGCACTTATCGTCATGGTCATACTGACCTTAACGTTCACCACATTTGTGTGTTTAACATCTCGTTCTCCCATAAAATCCTAAGTATGAAAGGAGTACACACTGTATGAGTCTATTTATATGAAACCCTAGAAAAGACAAATCAATACTGACAGAAAGCAGATAAATGGTTAGCTGAAGCCAAGAGAGGGTCTGGGGACTGACTGGAAAGGAGCACAAAGCAATGTTTTAAGATGATGGAAATATTCTATATCTTGAATGTGGTGGTGGTTACACAAGGGATAACATCTGTCAAAATTCATCAAACTATACATTTAAAATAGGTGTATCTTTCTGTATATAAATTATACCTCAATAAAGTTGATTTTAGAATTTTTTTTTTTTTTTTTGAGACAGAGTCTCGCTTTGTTGCACAGGCTAGAGTGAGTGCCGTGGCGTCAGCCTAGCTCACAGCAACCTCAAACTCCTGGGCTCAAGCAATCCTTCTGCCTCAGCCTCCCAAGTAGCTGGGACTACAGGCATGCGCCACCACGCCCGGCTAATTTTATATATATATATTAGTTGGCCAATTAATTTCTTTCTATTTATTACAGTAGAGACGGGGTCTTGCTCTTGCTCAGGCTGGTTTCGAACTCCTGACCTCGAGCAATCCGCCTGCCTCGGCCTCCCAGAGTGCTAGGATTACAGGCTTGAGCCACCGCGCCCGGCCTAGAATATTTTTAAACTATAAATGTGACCAGGGTTAAGAACCAGCCATCTATCCACCTATCCATCCAAGTATCCAATTAAGCATCCATAAGGGGCCCACTTAGTACCATACTGGCAGAAACTCAGTTCCCAATCCAGTGAAAGAGATAAAAAAATAAATATAATCAGGCCAGGTGTGGTAGCTCATGCCTGTAATCCTAGCACTCTGAGAGGCAGAGGCGGGTGGATCCTTTGAGCTCAGTAGTTCGAGATCAGCCTAGGCAAGAGCAAGACCCCGTTTCTACTAAAAAAAATAGAAAGAAATTAGCCAAAACAACTAAAAATAGAAAAAAATTAGCCAGGAATGGTGTCACATGCCTGTAGTCCCAGCTACTTGGGAGGCTGAGGCAGGAGGATTGCTTGAGCCCAGGAATTTGAGGTTGCTGTGAGCTAGGCTGACGTCACGGCACTCTAGCCTGGGCAACAGAGTGAGACTCTGTCTCAAATAAATAAATAAATAAAATCAGTGAAGCATGGACTCTGATAAATAAATATACATAGAGCACAGAGAAGAAAGGGAGTAACTGCCTAGGGGCTCAAGAATTACCTCAGAGAAGAAGATAAATTGCAACATAAAGGATTAGTAGAAGCTCATCTGAAATATGTCATGGGTGTGGGTGAGGAAGGCACTTGATATAGAATGGAGGAAGGTGCAAAGAAAAGATGTGAAATTTGATGTGTCTAGAATATGGAATACTTGGAAGGTAGTTGCAAAAGAAAGTCGAAGCCATGTCACAAAGGGTATTGACTGCCACACTAAGACTGTTGCTAGTATTGTCCTGGGACAAGCCTGTCTCAGGTTGTTCTGGCCAGGTAGGTGAGACTCAGCCCTTTTCAGGGCAGAATCTATAAACCTCTCCTCACATCTATTGTGTGCTTGGTATAGATCACATTGGGCACTCTGCATCCATTCTCTTATTTAATATTGCTACTCAGAGCTGCATCGTCCAAGCAGTAGTAGCCAGTAGCTTCAAGTGGCTATTTATATTTAATTGTATTAAAATTAAATTAAATATTCAGCTCTTCAATGGCCCTAGTCACATTTTTAAGTGTCCAACTGCTAGATGTGGCTAATGGCTACCATGTTGGGCAACACAAATTATAGAACATTTCCATCATTGTATGAATATCTATTGGACAGGACTGGTCAAGATACCCTATTATAAAAATGTTGATCTTATATTATATTTTGAAGATAACCTAACAGTAAAAAACAAAAGTACATTCTGGATCATCTAGATATGTAAGAGTATAGTTTTTCAACTTGAGTGGCCATGAAGCATTTGTGTTTATAACTGTGTTAATGTAAAATCATTATAATAGAAGATATAGTTGACTCTTTAACAGGCTTTGAACTGTACAGGTCCACTTACACCTGGATTTTTTGCGACAAAGGTTACGCTGAGTGTGCCTACCTCTTCTGCCTCTCCTTCCACCTCCTCTACCTCTCCCACCTCTGCCACCCTGAGACAGCAAGACCAACTCCTTCTCTTCTTCCTCCTCCTCAGCCTATTCAATGTGAAGATGATGAGGATGAAGACTTTTATGATGATCCACTTCCCCTTAATGAACAGCAAAATATATTTTCTCTTTCTTATGATCTTCTTAATAACATTTTCTTTTCTCTAGCTATTTTTAAGAATACAATCTACAATGCATATAACATATAAAATATGTGTTAATCAACTGACATTGATAATACTTCTGGTCAACAATAGGCTATTAGTAGTTAAGTTTTGGGGAAATCAAAAGTTATATGTAGATTTTTTACTGTATGGAGGGTGAGTATCCCTAACCTTCGTGTTGCTCACGGGTCAACTGTACTTGCCTGAAATTTTAGGACATAATGTGCTTCATAACAATAATATTTCTTTAATTTAGATATTTTAATCCAAAGGAACCCAGAGATCAAAACTGCTATTTTTACACAAAATATATAAATTCATAATATATCTCAAATTTACATATTTTAATACAAAAGAACCCAGAGATCAAAACAGTTATTTTTATACAAACTATGTAATATTTTGTTTGTAATATATAATTTCATACTTGCAATTCAAATTTTCAAGACAAATACTACCCACCAAAAAATTTAAACCACTGAAATATTACCCACTAAAAGATATAAACCAATTGGTGCATCCCCAGAGAATCTAATATAACATCGCATGATCACATCTATTATGATGTACCTAATAGCACTATAATGGACATGGGTCATTTTTGCCACCAAGCATCCACTTCTCCTTTTGATAACAACAATACTCAGAATTTGTATTAGTGGAACCACCCCTCCCTTGCTTTCAGCTAATATGCTTCAGGTAAAGTTAAATCAACCTCTAGGAGTAAAGAGCTAAGTCAATTAGTATATTCCATCCTCCTGCCCATAGTGCTTGGTTCAGGGATGAGCACGTAATTCAAAATGAAGCCGAAGAAACTGAATTTTTGTTTGATTCCTAAGAGATATGCTTGCTCTTCTACTACACTGGGATAAAATGACCCTGAACTATAATAGTAATAGTACTAATACTAATAACAGAAGCCATCACTTACATAGCACTTACTAAATGACAGTACTGTTCTAAGCACTTCGTATGTATTAACTCACTAATCTTCACCACCACCATGTGAAGATATATCCAATTTTACCCCCATTTTTAAGATGAAGAAACTGAGACACAGAAAGATTATATAACTTTTCCAAATTTACCCAGCTAGGAATTGGTAAAGCCAAGATTTGGTTTCAGGCAGTCTAGCTCCATAGCCCCTGTTCAAAGCACATATATGGGCCGGGCGAGGTGGCTCACGCCTGTAATCCTAGCACTCTGGGAGGCCAAGGCGGGCGGATTGCTCGAGGTCAGGAGTTCAAAACCAGCCTGAGCAAGACCCCGTCTCTACCAAAATATAGAAAGAAATTAATTGACCAACTAAAAATATATATACAAAACAAAAATTAGCCGGGCATGGTGGCGCATGCCTGTAGTCCCAGCTACTAGGGAGGCTGAGGCAGTAGGATCGCTGAGCCCAGGAGATTGAGGTTGCTGTGAGCCAGGCTGACGCCACGGCACTCACTAAAGTGAGACTCTGTCTCAAAAAAAAAAAAAAAAAAAAAAAAAGCACATATATGTATCTCCTCCCTGATGCTGGAAGCCTTCATACACAGGCAAAGCCAAGTGAAGATCCAGACGACATAATTTAAGTCCTGAGTAAGATCACGCCTGTACACAGCCCTATTCATATGTATTTCAGTTTTATGCAACAGTAAATTTCCCCTTATTGCTTGTATCAGATTGAGAGGATTTTCTGTCATAACAGGAAGCAACTCTAACTGAAACAATTACTGAGTGACCATTCGAAACACAGCAAGTCACATGATCATACTTGGAGCACTATGGCTACTCATTCCTCAATATTATAATGTTGCGACTTTTTTTAAAAGAATAATCATAAAAATTAGCCTTTTAAAATAATTTTCATATTTGTATGGTATTCAACACACAGCAAATTTATCTCTATAATTTGTTAAAAGTCAATTATGAAGGAATAGAAATGGACATAATATACAAGGAATATGTTCAAGCCAAGTGAAGGTCAAATGAGATCATGATGTGTTATGCAAATCAAAGTTTCATAGTAACTTAAATAGAGAAAAATGGTGGGAGGAATGAGTCATCAGATGGCATCAGTAATACAGACATGCTGAACTTAAGAGCCAGGGAGCAACTAAGTTTCAGCAAAAAAAGTATCATTTTATTAGATCAGAAGTTTATTTTTATATAAAGTATACATCTATTTTTTGTTCTTATTTATATGCAAATTTTATACAGAGACCTAAACCTCATTTTATGTTTGTACATATTTAAATAACATAATAAAAATAATTTAAGTCATCACTACATGTCCAAGATAAATTATTTCCCTTAAAAGGAATTTGTACATTCCTCAAGTTTGAAAACCACTGTTTTGAGAAGCAAAAAGCCAAAAAAGTTTTGAGGCAAAATGATATTAATATGATGAGGCTCATCACCCTCCTCTCTTAAGATCCACCTCTTTACCAAAAATTGACTTTCATCAGAATGCTATCTAATTTCCCTTTAATAGTCAGGAAACATTGAAGCATGGAACAGCTCCTGTTCATTTCTGCTTATCCACTGTTTCTAAAATAAAAGCTTCATATATAGAGGCATCATTAAGAATAACTA